GACAGGGAGAGACAGAGGCATTACAGTCCAATTCAAAACGGACATCAAGATCATGCCAAGGGCCAATGCTGTAGCACCTGCAGACAGTAAGGGCACACCTGAATAGATCTCAGAGAGATTTGTGCTCTTTTTGGGGATGTATGCTGCTTAGATTAGCTGCAGGCCATCAAAGAAAAGAGAGTGGAAGATCTCTTCCTCCCACAAAGCCATAAACATAGAAAGTGAATAAAATCTCCAAAAATAATTTGTTTCCTCAATTTGGGCAATATCCCTGAAGGCGAAGGCCTGGGTCTCTTGCCCTTCCTGATCAGGCTGTAGCTCCAATTGCAATATAGTACCTGGACAATCACAAGCTGTCACAACAGGAGAGTGATTGAGACTTACCGCGTCCAGCAGGGTGAGCTGCTCTGCAATGTCTGTGGAAGGGAAGTCCAGGAAGTCCCGTACCACCTTAATGCAGTCCTGTTCCAAGTCGCCTTTACCAGAGCCAAGGGCGGCCTGCTGTCTGCCATTTTTCTCTGGAGGTGAGAAGCAGGAAGAAGGGTGGGTGAGGGACGAACAGTGGGAAGATGATCACAGAGCACAGCAGCTAAGGTCTCCAGGGCGACCCATGGGGTGAGGCTAAGGTTTCCAGGCAATCAGCTAGGGGGCGGGGATAAGGTTTCCAGTGTGACCCGTGGGCGTACCTGCATCCTGAAACTTCTTCAGCAGGGTCTCGGCACGCTGGGATAGACGGCGGTAGCACAGACGCTTGCGCAGGTGTCCCCGCAGCACCTTCAGGCAAGAGTAGTGAGGGGGATCCCGGAAATCCTCTGCATACTCCTCCAGCCACATCTGGATGAGCGGGATCAGAGTGCTGAGGAAAAAGGGAGGTAAGAGAGAAAGGGAGGGAGAGATGAGACGCACAAGCTTGAAGGGGATTCACAGAGGTTAGACAACAGGTTCACTACAAAACTGCACCTTCGGCTTCCTCAAAATCCTCCCAAAACAAAAAGTAACACTTTAACATTGTTTTCTTCATCATCCCAACCAAGAATTGCATCTTTGAGCCTATATAATGATATTGTGCAAATTAGGAGTTAATTCCGCTCCAGTGTGACACAAAAGCTCCGTGCTACGTCTTCCGCAGTTTGCTCAAGAGAGGATCACAGATTTCTGCTGCAGCTGGAAACGGGGAGCATGTGGAGGAAAGATCGAAGCAGGCCCTCAAAGACTGACCCTTTCCCTCACCTCTTGTTCGGACGAACGTGGCAGACGTTGCTGTCCACATCAGTGATGGAGTCATCTCTGAAAAACGACAACAACAAAAGTGGTCACTTCAAGTGTCCAGGGCTGTTTTTCTGCCAGTACTGGGGGTAGCTTGACAAGACTATCATCTATTACCATCCATGACCCTCTACCATGCCCAAGCCTTTGTCCGGCTGGGCCAACCCTTGCCTTAAAATAGAAGAGCAGCCCAACAGTGGAGCATTCCACAAGCCGGTTTAATCCGCAAAACAAGCAAGCATCCACCCTTTCAAAATAGGACACCATTCCCACACAAACAAAAGATAGAGAATTTGAACCTGGAGGTTCTAGGAGACTAGCTGTTCATTGAAGAAACTGAAGAGGGTCAGAGCCTGATTCCCGTGGTCTTTTCCCAGAATTCCTATCACCCACTCTGCCATTTCCCACTAAAAGGCCTGTGCGAACGTTCCTCACTTTACTCTGTTTTTACCATGGGGTACCGCAGGGAGCTTTTCTAAGGATCATGCAGGAAGAAAGCCAGATCTTTCTGTTTATTACGTTCACAGTATAACAGGGCCACAGTACGATACGTTCGAGGAAGTTCGGCTTTATCACAGCAGGGCACAGTTAGAGCTCAAAGAGGAGGGGGGAGTGGCTCCACCTGTGCAGGAGCAGGTCGATGAGCGTGCTGGTGTCGGTGAAGGCGCGGTAGGTGGCCAGGAAGATCTTGGCGAAGTCGGGGTCGTCGCCGGGCTCCAGCAGCCGAGAGGTCAGTTTGTCCAGAGTGGCCGCCTTGAGCCGCCGCACCTTGTAGGTCCTGTACTGGACGAAGCAGAAGGCGGACTGGGCCTCCCCGTCCTCGGGGGGCTGTACCGGCTCCCTCCTCAGAGTGATCCCATAGATCGCCCCATCCTCCACCTCTTCCCCCCACTCCTGGACCGGGTTCTGAGAAATGAACAGGGAAAGGACATGAGCAGTTAGAGAGAAGAGGAAGCCACCGGACCCTGTTCTGCTTGGGTCGATGGCCAGTCGCTTAATAATCCCAGAATTCCATTCAGTCTGGTCCAAAAAGGTTCCCACAAAGTCAGCTTCAACCGCATGGCCCGGGACGTGGTCCCAGACTCCCACAATCCTACATGCAAAGGAGGGTCTCCTCCTGTCTTAAAGGCTCTTTCATTTCCCAGTGGTGTTCCTGGGAATCGATGTATTCCTAAAGATGGATCAAAGCCTTTTAAAATTTGGAAAAGCGGAATCAAGTTCCCTAGGTAGAAAAACAGAATTGGGTCTTTATTATGTATTATGCGGGAACAACAGGTTAATGGGCGACTCAGTCACACTGCACACTGAGTGAGCCTCATTAAATGGACTGCTGCCTGAAAACTGTGATTGGCTCCATTAATTTAATTCAAGCTTTAAGCCTTTCTAGCCCCTGGGGAAAATATATTCGAGAGCAGAGTTCAACACAGCAGTACAAACAAACCACCCACAAAGAATTCAGCACACCAGCATCTCAGAAGATAAGAAAGTTATCTATTGCCTTGGAATGAAATTGCAGAGAGGAAGAAAGATTTCCGGAGTCTATTACCTTGAAAGAAAAACTAAAGCTTAGCAGAGGCTAGAATCAGAAGACCCGCCCCTCAGAAGCACACAGGTTCTTCCCAGACCGGCAGGACTGGGGATCTCCAGTACCCGGGGCCACTCTGCTGTAGGCAGAATGACAGGTGGAAGAGGAATGAAGAATAAACCTCTGGAGGTCGTGTGCAGAAAGCAAGGGGAACAAAACAGAGTTGCTGGGAAGATTTCAGGACACTTGCACACAGCTTCCACTCGTGACCTGTGGCTGGCCCACTCCTCAGTACACCCCACCCTTGTTTCCCTCACAGGCTCGCTAGACTACAGGTGCCGATAAGCAAGACGATAAACAAGAAGCCCGCACGTCACCGGGTGACCTTCGAAAGGACATGAAAGCATGGCTGAGTGCTTTGTAGCCAATACAAACTCACACTCCCTGGTTTCGCTGTACACACACGCACGATGAAGTCAAGTAAATTCAGCTTACTCTTCCATACGGAGTGGGACTGTACTGCGTTTCAAAAACCCATGGTTACATTACAAAGGCTAAAAACAAGGCGAGTTAAATCTAGGCACCATTTTAAAGCCAGCGCACTCTTCAGTTTGTTTGGTTTCTTTGTACCTGGTGCACTGAATAAAACAACAGTTTTTTTAGGAATTATTTGCAACTAAATCAGGCTGCCATATACTCCAATACCAAATCATTGATAAGTAATCTGTCCTCTATACAGTATCTTACTAAATGTTAATTTAACACCCTTAAGTGTTACTAACACGTAAGGAAAGACCGCAGGATATTATACATAATACATTACAATGCATAGCCCAGCAATGTTTAAAGTCTGTGCAAAGACAAGAATGTGTTGTTTCTGCGGTCTTGTCCTGCACAGTATGATATTCTGGAAAAATGACCCTCGATGTGATTGCAACAGGTACATCAGCTCCTCTAGAACTTCACAGGAACATCCCTTTAATCTCACAAAAAACCTGTAAGACAATCTGGAGTCTTTATAGCAGGGGTTAAAAGCTAATTCAAATTAAGCTTCACAAAATCTTCTATTTTTCCCATACAATACTTGCTAGTGGCTTGCAACTCTTGCACCAGGAACAAAGAAATCAAATCGAACTGAAGAGCGCACTGGCTGTCATCAATTAACGAGACAACAGGGTTACCATCAATTCTTTTTGGCAGCCCAACAAGCAGCATTTTGCAACTACATGCCAGCTATTGATTTTCACCTCCAAAATAGGTCAGTGTATGCCAGCAATCTTTTTTTTTTAATTGCATTTCAGGAGTTTTATTAATACAGAGCTCCTTGGCTAGGTGTGCTTGGGACAACCCAGCACTCAGCAGATTTTATGTCTGAAAAAGAATAGCACAGGGCCAATGATGGGGGTGACAGGTGGGAATCAGATTTTTCTTAAAAACCGGCGTGCTCCGAGTCCTTCAATGACATTACTTGCTAGACAGCCAGCCAACCAGTCTAGGCTTAGGATTGATCTACAGAGTCTGAATGACTGGGACGAACCACTCAGCCTCTTTAATGCATTTTATTTCATCACACATCCTTATCACAGGCAGGGGACCCACAGACCCTCGCTGTGGCGCTGCCTTGTTTACATCAGGGCCTGCTTAGTAAAGCATTTGCTTGACAAAAATACAGAAATTCTCTTCTGGTGGACAAAGCACACACACACAGTCTCCAACCAGATGGCCGCAGGCTGATGTGACCTGTATAGAAGATCACTTGAACTCAGAGGTTAAGAGGCACAGTTTTAGATCAAGACCTGCGTCGCTGTGGCTCAGACAACAGACACCAGACACCTGCACAGAGCACAGGCTGTATTCAGATCCCTGTCATTTTCCAAGAGGAATATCCCACAGAAAACAATCCAGGGCCTCCTTATTGTAACGTCGCGCAACCTCATGGAGGTCGTGGGCTCACAGGGAGAAACCTGAAAAGTTGGAAAAAATACTTGGTCTTTCCCTGGATTACTTAAAATCATTATGGGCTCAGGTGCCCTTGGGTCAGGAAACTAAGGGTTTCTCCTATCAGGACACAGATACCTTTGCCAGAATGGTCTTCCTTTCTTCCACAACGGTTCACCTATCTTACCGGCTGACGGTTTTGAGGAAGGGAAAAGAAGGGTGGGTTCTTTCACGCCTTGGGGGGCCAGCTGACGGAAAGAAAACTCAGCTGCGAGTGGAAACTCTGCAGCAAAAATAAAAGTATCTCGGCTTTACAAAAAACCCCCGCAGCATCAGGTTTCGCGAGAGAGGTGAAGATTGATAAAGATCTGCTGACCAGACTGGCAACGTGAATCTGGTTTCACACTGAAACACCTGCAGGCCGTCAGGTAGTGGGACTGGCTCGGAAAGTCGAATTGGATGCCATTTTCCGAGCAGGAAGAAATGTGTTTGTTAAGCCCAGACAGAAGCCTGGTGGCGCTAACCTGCTGATGGTCTTCAACTTGGCAGGTACTGAGTGACAGGCCCGGTCCAGTTCCAGCTAGGCCTGTTCTGAAGCCATCACCGTGACTACTTTACATCTCATTTGTGTTTGAAAGAAACTATTTTCTCTGTCCACCCACATGCAAAAGAGATGCCTTGACTCATCAAAGGCTTTTTGAGGACTCCTGTGCAGATGATGCCCTTCAAAGAGGTGGGTTCTGTTTGGGCACATTTGAATACGAATATTCACAAACATATTTCCCCCTGTTCTTCTGAAGAGAAATTAGATTGTTTTGTGTCCTTCACCCACACAAAAGAGGTGTTTTGAAGATCTCAGCTCACAGCCACAAACCCCACACATAGCCCACAAGCTGGGAGAGTAAGGAAGAGTGGGCAGACCCCTCAGAGACACTCAGCTTTTCTGAAGTACGATAAACTCGGGTTTTATGTGGTAGCCCAAGCGGGGCAGCGTGGCAGTAGGGCCATGCATGAACACACACTCTTTCATGATCTTCAGTGCTGGAGAGAGCGCGATCGAGCTATCCCTCTCACTTCCGTAAACGCAGACCAATTTTTTCCAGCTGCTGGGAATAAAGATACAGAAATCGTCCAGACTGAATGCTTCCTCAAAAACCTGCAGCGGATTACAATAAAAAAGACTTTCGCCATGAACATGCAATTCTCTTGTAGTTTTATAAAGGGTCTCGCACAATATCGCACCTGGCTTTGTGCGTTATATTTCAGGAAAAGATACAGGCGGAAAATAAATCCTGTATTTCCCAGCGCCTATTAATGGCGCACGGCACACAAGATCCAGTTTCTCTCTCCCCGTGAAAAAGTCGTGCCCAACACATTTGTGCAAGATCCTTCTTCAGTCTGAGCCAGGGAATCCGTCTTCCTTCTTTTGCATTGAATGCAGATGGCAGGAAAGAAAAAAAAAAAGATGACTCCGGCATCTTTTTTGCTGTCTCAGCTATTGTGCATTTAAAGTTAAAAGACCAAGCAAAAAAAAGAGGAAAGTTAAAAAAAAAAAATCAGATCTCTTCTGAGAGATACAGGTTGCCTGCCACAACTCCCAAAGCTCGGGACTTAATGACGTTTTTTTTCCTTTCTACTGATTTGGGACAGTGAGCAATTTCCAGCTCTGAATAATAGGGGGGGATAACTAAATAACTACTGCCAGTTTCCTGCGACAGGTGTCTGTTGCTAAGATCCCACACAATAAAGCAGCAGTTCCCCATGGTCACACCCTAGATCAGCGCTGGGATCTGCAGCCCTCTCGCCTGCCACTGTGACAGCACCACAGCACAGGCACTGAGTGACAATCGGGCTGGAAACGGGGCCAGTTTTAGTTTCTCTGGCCACACAAAGATTTGCAGATTTGGCAAGCTAGTGGACTAACTCAGGAGAGACCAGGCACCTTGGGGAAAAAAATGGCTGCGATCATTTTCAGCACAGAATGTCTTCTCACACACACACAGTATGCACGTGATCCAGATTTCTGGGCAGAGGGGTCTCCATCATGAACGGTAGCACCCCCACAACACAGATGCAAACACACAGGATAAGAAAGTGGGGGTCATGTCTCCCTCCGCCCCATGTGGTCACCCCCAGATTGCTGAGGCCCCTTGCTGGGACGCAACGGGCTGATGCTCATGATCCCCACGGGGCTCTGACCCAGACTTCAAGAACCCATGACTCAACTTGAGCGCGTGATCTGCTGAGCTGATCGCCAAGCAAGATCGTCCACCTGCAAGGACCTGCCAGACTGTGACCGTCCAGGGCCACAGCAGACCCTTCTCTGGGCAAACTGAAACCGGCTGCAGATGAAAGCATTTGAAACCATTTCTCCCCCGAACAGCTACGGAACAAGTCCCAACCCATCCTCTCTGCTGTACATGTGTAAGGCCACCCCACCACACCTGCATACAGAGCCCTCCGTACCTGCACTCAGCTGTGCCTCTGTCCCTTTTCCTGTCACCACCTGCGCAGGTACTGCGGGAGGTCACCAGGAGAGCTCCAGGCATACCACAAGAACACACAAACACGCAGGCAGGAGGACACACGCTTTCAGTCACGGGCTAAGAGAAGGGCACTGGAACAACTTCTCCACACGTCCAAGAGACACACGGTTATTAAGCCATCGCAGAGTGGCTGTTCGATTAACGCCCATATATCCACAACTCTACTGGATATACTGTATATTGATATTTAATGCCATATCTTACAATAACTCTAAAGTGATTTGCAAGCCTAGTTTCAAAGACTAAGGAAAATCATTCATGCATCCATTCTTCTGACAGCTTTATCCAGAACAGGGCTGAGGGGTAGCTGGAGTTTATTCTGACAAGAAACAGGCACAAGGCGGGGAACACCCTGGGCACACATTCCCACCAGGGCCGATTTTCCCAGAAGCCAATTAGCGTACCACCATCTTCTTGTGGGAGGAAACCAGAGCACCTGGAGGAAACCCACGTTAACACAGGGGAAACATACAAACTCCACACAGACAGCACCCGAGGTCTGGAAGGCAGCAATGCTAACCAGTGTGCCACCGAGCCACCTTAAGGGAATTAATGAGCTCCTCAGAACGTTTACTACTGTACATCATCATTATTGACGTCAAACCTTGTATAACTTGTATAACTACCTGACATTATGGATTTACGAAAGCTTAAAAGACTGCTGCCGACGCAACTTCACCAAAAACTCAAAAAACAAAATAGACAATACATAAACACGCTATACTGCGATTCATAATGCTTACCATCGTTATCTCCTTGCCCATATTTCCTAGCATTCACAGTAGGTCGACGGTGGAAAGAGATCGGTTTGCGGACACTACAATCCCAGCTTTAAACAGATCTATTTCCTCATTTTTTCGAAAATTGGAACTCCGTCTTCGCTTCACTTTTCACATTTCACACGCGAAGCTGGTGTATTGACTACTGAAGCACTAGTGCATTTTAGATATTTAAGACTTCCATCCGATCGATCTAACTTGAGAGAAAAAAGAAAAAAAAGAATATTTGTGCATGGCTGTCTTATAAGGGAGTAAAGATCGGATGATGGAAAGACCTTGTTATATATTTTTTTGTTATCGCTCCGTCTCCAGATGTCTTACAAACGACCGAAAGCGTGTTGAGAGCGCTCCTGAATTCGGAAAATCAGTTTTGTTTCAGAAGTACAGTACGGAACTGCTCCAAGGCTACAGCCCTGCGCTTAGCGCCGTCAAAAGCACCTGCACGGCGAGAGCTGCGCCACTCAGAAATAAAGCCCAAGGCGCGCTGAATAATTCAGATGGGAGGTTGTCCGGTGGGCGGCTCCTTTTTAGGCCTGTCCCGCGATTCGAGTCCGTGCTGGGAGGGCATCCTGCTGTACGCGTCTTCATTTAGCGTACTGTGTACTGTAGGAGGAAGCGTGGCTGATGACAGTCAGAAATTGTAAACGTCACCTCCAAGGACACCGCTAGACGCCACTGGGAAAACTTTATTTTAAACACCCGAGTTGAAAGAGTGGACTAAAACTACTATAACTACTAGAGAGACAATGGAATACAGGATAAAACACTAGCCCGGTTACTTTAATACACGATTTACTTGTATGCGACTTTCAAAGCGTTTTTCACTGGTTAAATATAATGAAAATAGTAAAACGGCAAACCAAATCTGCATGTAATTAAAATATCTCTCACTGATGTAGAATTGTTGTGAATAGTTGATTACATGGATTGATGTCCAAAAGTAGCACAGCCTCCTAGCTGTACTCCTTCATAGAGACCTGAGCCTCTTGCTGAAGCACTAGAACTGGTTGCCAAAGTAGGTGACTTAGTGAGCCCCAGGGTGGAGAAGGGGTATGATGATTACCTTTCCAGCTGACCCCAGCCCACTCTGAGACAGGACAGGTCTTGCCTCTGGACTGAAACACATTAAGGTGATCTGGGCAGAATCACATAATTGATTTAGTCTCTTTTTTTTGTCCACGAAAGTTTCCACACATAAAATATTTTAGTCTTTTTCAATTCACAATCCAGAATGGTGCCTACCGGTGCTAAAACATAATCATCCATTGAGAAACTGCTATTCACTTTACATGCGGTGTTAATTTATAGGCGAGCCACAAGCCTGCCCTCTCCCAAATGCCTGAGCGATCTGCGTCTAAGTGCCAGACCCGTGAGGAGGGGGTCCCTAAAACTATCTGGCAGCACCCTGGTTTCACCACTGTGAGACCCCTGCTCATGTCAGTGCTTTTCAGCGCTAGTTTGGCACCAGGACTGTCAGCAAACGTCTTGCGTGACTCTGTCATTCCACAAGTTCACTGTTTGTTTTCTTCGGGAATAATCATCACAACAAACCACAAGAAGAACATAAGAAAATAAATAATGACTCTTTGGAGAACAATTCTCAAAACCTTAGCTTACTAAGAACTGCACAGCAGGTGTGGACTCTGAGAATTGTCAATGTCTTGCCCAAAAATATTTATTATGACTTTAAACAGAGAACTCCGGATGTATCAACAATTGCAGTCTAAGGTGGGAGAAGAGAGACTACTTAAATTACTGCCCGAAAACACCAGTAATAAAAGTGTGGGAATCGTGTCATAGTACCATCACCTGATCTGTTAAGTACAAATTAAAGGAGTTTTACTCTCCTAAAGGCAGTATTGTCCAAGTTCTAGGAGATTTGTATTAATTTAATCAATACAGACTTTAAAAAAAAACAAGGAAAGTCAATGAGCTTGCTAGAACAGTGGTAAACATTAAGTCAGTTTGGTTGCTAGTACTGAACTGACCCCAGGGTGCATTTGGCTGTTTTCTGAAGGGATTCAGGGTATCGGCTTCAACAACATGGCAGTTCAACGCATTCCAGACCCCCACCACCCTTTGTGTAAAGGGGCACCTCCTGTCCTCTGTTTTAAATGCACTTGCATTCTGTTTCGACTTGTGCTGTCTGGTTCAAGTCTGACTTTTAATTCTGAATAACGCAATTCATTTGGACCTTGAATACTTGAATCAGGTTCCTTTTTAGCTTGCGAATAACTGGTTGCTCTTCTGTATACTCCAGAACAGAAATATCTTTTTCACAACACAGAGAATAAGTGGGTCCTTTTTTTAATATGCCCATTTGGAAATAACTGATGCCAAAGCAAATATAGAGTCGGAATAAAATTATTAAAAAAATGATCTGAGAATTAAAATAACAGCCTAACACAAATAGGAGAGCGATCAGATTCATTGCATCTTTAATGCTGCTGAACACTGTCTTTTTATTGTACAGGAACACTATTGCATGATTTCTGGAGGTTTCCTCAACACTGGACAAATCACAGAAGGAAAAATAACACTGGATTGGGATTGTACAGGATCTCGGCCGATGACTCATTATTCAAAAGATGCATTTTACTCAAATTTCAGTAGATAAACATGTTTCCAATAAGTCAAATAAGCAGATCGATTGATCAATCAAGGGCCAAGGGGATGAAAGAGTGAGCCCTGGGGATCAGAGTTCAGCACCTCCAATACAAATTATCACTAAGTCATATAAAGCGCTACAAGCGTACTCCCAAACCATCTGGACATGATGGGTCAGATGATGGGTCAGTAGCCAACGTCAACATACTTCAAACCTTACTGTGTTTAAGCAGCTAGGATATTACAACTGCATTCAGATACCCACCAACCCTCACAATCAACCATCAAGCTTAGGTAAATTAACACTGGCACTAAACCACTAACGGCAGCCAGCAAATTGCACTCATCAGTTGCCCATTCTTTTTGCTATTACAAAACCACTGAATAGTTTATCAGTGCTCTCAATTTGATCTACAGTATATACAGTAGTCAGTGCAAATTACTACAAAGCATGGTTCATTAACAAGATTTATATCGATATCAAGGATAAACTGCAGAAATACACTGAGCAAAATGTAGAATTCGTATAAAAATACATTTTGGTCTTAAATTTCTTAGAAAGACTACTGTACAGTATTTGCCAGTATTTAATTGGTAATTAAACCGTGACAAACAATTCAGGAAAGGAACAATGCTTAAGTGAGTAATTTCCTTCACCTCAGTTTCTCAATCCTGCTCTTTCTAATCTCCTTAATTAGTCTCCCAGCTAATAGACTCACAGTCCAGTAGCTCCCCTTTACCCATCTGTAGCCTCTCTAGGAAGGAGGAACATACTGACCTCATCATCTCGCTCCGTGTTCAAAGACTGGAAGCTCTTCAGCCAAACTCCCGGCACCACGTCTACTAGCTCCAAGTCCAGACAGCGCTGGCCTGGGAATAGTTTCCTCGTCTCGAACATCTCTGCTCGGAGGGACTTTTTTCTCCTTCTCCTGTCTAAAAGGACAAGGCTGGGCAGTGGATCCACATCGAGCTTCATGCTTCACACATGGAGCTACAGCTTGAAGTGGCTCAGTGGAGTGTTGATCTGTAAAGATCACTACAAGCACACTCCCAGCTGTGACAGACGAGCACGCCCAGATACTCACCACATTCCAGCACTGGAAAACAATAGAACTTCAAAAATCTCCTCCCTAACTTTTTTTTTGTTTTTAGTTTGGCTGCAAAACACTATTTGTAATTGAAATCAGCCACCTGAGTCTATTCAGAGCATTGGAATTACTTGCGAATTGAACCTGCTGGGACAATTGGGCATCATGTAAAGCACCTGGAAGAGATTGACACCTTCCGCCCTGCTGTCTTCGAAAGAATCAAAACCTCTTAGCTCTGAACACAAGGGGTGTGTGCCTCAGGTCTGTATAGCAGGGCCAGTCATGCACCGGCCTTTTCAGATCCTCTGCACTGGCTTCTTCTGTTTCCTTCAGCCTGCAAATTGCGTGATTTTCAAATCAATTCACAATACTTAATTCATCCCAAGGAGCCAATTTATGGTGCAGCATACAACATGTTCCAAATAAAATAACAAATTACTAAGAAATATATGTAGATAACAAGAGTAAGAGTGTGCAATATTTAAGATTGTATTAAAGTGTGTGTAGATGTAAGAGGGGGCTCTATCCAATGGAGATCATATTGATAAAATGTCTTTACAGTCATCGTTTGCCAGACTGATGGCCTCTGGAACAAAGCTAAATGTCCTTCTATTTGTCTTGCGCTGTGGACAATGCAAACATCTTCCAGAAGGCAAAAGTTCAAAAGACTAATTATTCAATTTAATTATTTGTGTATAATTAAATGATGCATTCGGCTTATATGAAACACGGGGATTGGAAGTCGCATTATTTGTCTCTCTCCTATGTTGATTCTCAAACACTGCAGTCACCAGCATTATTTTCTCAGGGGCACTGTAGTCTATGAAGATCTCGTTACTGGGGCAGTAAATGCTCAAAGAGGGAAACACAAAACATCAGTTCTACCGCCACAGTCCTTGCATCTAAACTGTGTGCTGTACAGGACGGTTTTAAAAGTGGCCATGTCTAAAACAGTGCAGGCGCTGCATGTTTCTTCTCAGAGTGGTCCGGACCCATGCAGACAAGCAGGAAATCCTTGGGCAGTATTTGTTGCTTGTGCTCTCCTCTCTTTCTCCCCCTTTCATTCCTCTGCCGTTTTTCAGATGTGGATTTTCACTGTGCCGCAACAGAGCCCTTGTCTTTGCGTGAGCTGCGGGTTTCACTTTCACCTGCTGGACTTCTTGGAATTGAAAACGAATGAAGGAAATTGCAGAATGGCATGCCACATGCAGAAGACTATGTGTGACTCATAACTAATTAATTCTTAGGACGGACTAAAGCGTATGGTCTTCCTATCATGTAACTATCTGTACGTGTGTGTTTTTGATTCAGTTAAATCATGGCACTACTCATATGTTTCCATTAAGAAGGAGCAAGAAGAAAGACATTTCTGATTATATGTCAGGATGTGCTAGTTTTTCTAATGAAATTCAGCTTGTATAGGTAGACTGCAGTCCTACTTTCTCAGACCAGTTATTAAATCTCGGTAACAAAATCAATTCCTTAATGCTATAGAACAAATATACAAATGTCAAGCCATGAACTTTTTGAAAGTACTGTAAGTCGCCAACTTTTATTCCAGTTCCAACAGATTGCGATGTGATGTGGCCCTTCCTGCTCACTAGTCACTGTAATGAGTAATGTACTGTGATGTACAAGCAAATAAGTACCGGCTGTGCAGGTACTTATCTGCATACAGAGTTAACAAGTAAGTAGTTTTTGTCAGCAAAACCATCAAAATATCCAGATCAATATTTATATTGGATTAAAAGAGGTGGATTCTCACTTCTTTATAATGTGCTAAGGACACATCATCCCACTGTAAATTTGAAGTTCTGAATCACAGAACATGGTGCTGCTCCTACCTGGAAACTTCATCTATTTTGTGATGTAAACTGAATGTTTTACAAGTTACTGTGCACATTTGACTTTTATTGTGGTTTGAAATGCACTCGTCAATGCTGATTCTTTCTAACCCCAAAATATAAGAATAGCCTTGCGGTTCTCCTTTAAACTGGATCTGTGGCTATCTCCTGGACAAACACACTGATTTTATTTCTTGTCCAGTGGCCCTGTAAGGCAAGACAGCATAGATGTTTGTCTTTTTGCACCATCACCTAGAAAGCCAAAACAATGAACCCTTTTATCAGTCTTCTTTCTTGGAATTGAGCTGATCAATACCCTGATCACCATGAATTCTCTGCGCTGCGGGTTCAAAAGCCACATGGTCCGAGAAAAGAACTGCACTGGAAACGATCTCTACTTCCTTCTTCGAATGAGGCTATTTTTGATCCGTTGTGTCACGGATTCCATCTTGACTCAAAAGGGAAAGAAGAAGCACAACCGACAGTCCAACCGAGGCTCTTGGAGGAAGTGTTTTTGTGATTTCTGGCAGGTGGGTGAGGGTTGTCTTTATTTCCACTTAAGAGTTTTTTGGGAATCCGCATCAGCGTGGTCTGTCATTCGAAACTGCAATGTGGAAAAAATGGAGTGCCCCCTCCTTCACTTTCTGTTTAGAAAGGTAGAGGAAATGTATTCTGGTGGTGCGATCGAGAATGCCCCCCAGATTACACTCTGACAGCAGACCATCCAAAAATAACAGCACAGCTCCTTTTCAAAGCAGATCTGTTTTTTAATAGCTCTGTGATTCATGAGCTGGTTAGTTACTTCCAGAGTATTCTGTTGTGCAGGGGCACAGCTTTTGAAAACCCAAGCCTTTATTGGGACCATCATACACTACTACACACAGCTATTTCAGATAAAGGAAGTGAAATATATGCACTACAGCCTCAAAGTGCTTGGGTCCTGGATTTGATTTTGTGCTAAGGTCTTTCTGTGTGAAGTTTGCATGTTCTCCCTCACATGTCTGTGTGAGTTTTCCCCTGGAGGTCTGCTATTCCCAGAGACATACTGGCTACATTGCCAGGTGGCTCTAAACTGTTCCTGACATTTGTGTGTCCTACAGTCCTTGGGATGTTGAGTATAAGCATGTGCAAACTAGTTGCGAAAGAAAGAAAATTAACAAGGCAACAATACATTTAGATATTACTTTTCCTTAATATCGCATTTGATAATATGTTGTGTGCATTTCAATCTCTCATTTGCAAGATAATCTATAACAAGACAATGCAGAGGCTCGTTTCTTGCAAGTAATTTTAAGCAAATCCATTGAACTCCAGACTGCTAAATATTAAATATGCATGTCCAATAGCGAGAAAGGACAGTGCTCTTGGGTGACACAATAAATATACCTGTATAACAAGCAGGCTAACATACCTGTTTCAGAGAA